TATGAGTGTAGCATTTTTAAAATAAAAATTGGGGTTGAATTTATTCATATGTATGACTACTGCATTAGTTAATTTGTTTTTGTGAGGTCTCTTTTGTGCTTATAGATGTTTTTTTTTTTATTAAATACTGCATGTTTCTCCAGTATATTGGGAGGAAAAGTTTTGGCAATTTATTTTATAAATGCTTGCTTCAGAAATATTATTGATATTATTGTTTGAAGATCTTAGTATATTCATTATGGTTATGAAAGTGGGATTATCTTAAGATTATCTAGATGGGATAGGTTTTTATAGATAGTGGACGTGACAGAGTTGGTCTTTAGTATTATGCATAAGTTTTCATGTAATATATAGTTACTTGACAAGACACCAGAAATATTGAAACAAAATGTCTATATTTTCAGTGATGTTATAACATCCGTACTTTATAATTTTTGAATAAATATTATTTGCACTACTTTGTATTGAGAACGTTTTAAAAAATAATGGTTTTTGGTTATCAGAATTTTATTCCATCTATACCAACACTGTATTCATATATATATATATATATATATATATATATATATATATATATATATATATATATATATATATATATTAGAAAAACTCTAGCAAAGCGGAAAAAGGTTGTGTGAAGCGTTTCAACCTTTACCACATTATCAGGTCTTAAATGGTATTTGCGTTTATTCGACTACAAAATATATAAAAGTGAGGGGACGTTGAGAAGTAAATACTTTAATTGTTTTATCACAAGGTGGCATATGTAGTATCAAAAGTGATGGAAATATATATTAAAAATGGTTATGTATATACGTATTGAAACCTATATATATATATATATATATATATATATATATATATATATATATATATATATTGGAAATATATATATATATATATATATATATATATATATATATATATATATATATATATATATAATTGGAAATAAGATACCTTTCGTAAATGACCATTTCTCCTACGAATTTTGATTTGAAAATTTCTAAACTGTTTATGGTATCATTTTGTAGGGTACTCATTAAAATTCGTAGGTGAAAATGGTCATTTACTAAAGGGATCTTCATACCAATTTTAAAGAAGATTTGCCCTGTTTAATCAAAACAATCATTGAGTGCTCTTTTGAGAATCAGTTTTAACATATTTCAAATTCTATGTTGTATTAATGGGACTCGCCTGGATTATATATATATATATATATATATATATATATTATATATATATATATATATATATTAATAGATTTAAAATATGTTTTTTCCGCTCCACATTTCTAACCATGTTTCAAAAATGGAAGCTAAAAGCCACGAATTTAATTTTGCAATTAAATTAAAGACACTAGTTATGGAACTAATGTGTTTAATTGAAATTAAAGACATAAGTTATGTTAGTTAAATTAAAGACATTAGTTATAGTTATTTAATTTAAATTAAATACATTAGTTATGGAACTAATGTCTTTAATTTAATTGCAAAATTAAATTCGTGGCTTTTAGCTTCCATTTTTGAAACATGGTTAGAACTGTGTAGCAGAAAAAACATATTTTAAATCAACTAATTTATAATATTAATGCTCTGTAAATTTACATCGAGTACTATTTTGTAAAAATAAAAATACCTATAAGAACACCGGATTATATATCTTACTGTTCGTTCTTTATATATATATATATATATATATATATATATATATATATGAAAAAGCACTTTGGGTCGAGTCACTGGTTCTAACCAATGTCTTTATCCACTTTTATCCGTAGTTTACTTGTGGGAAAAACAATTTTAGGCAAACAGTTATTTTTTCTCATAAAGTGGTCGATATCAAAATGCAAAAATAACGCGGTAATAGAATTCATGTAGAGAAACTTATCACTTAGGCGAGTAGGGTTGGTTCTGTCAAGACGACTTCGAAGTTTCGTGAGCGCATTGCACTAATGCTTTCACTCTTCAGGGCTGTTGTCTTTTCGGTATTTACCTAAGGGATGTGACACAAGTCCGTTTCTTCTTTTTTTAGGTGGGGTTTCTGAGTCCTTAGGCTAAGGCAAAATTTTACCGTACACCCCGTAATAACGGGGTCGGATTTTTCTACTTCCCCAGACGAGACTCTACCTTTTGGCATAGCCTTGTCTGGGTTCCTCTCCGCCCGGAAGATGAGAGGCCAACAAGTAATGTGTTCGAAAACCCGGAGGTTTGGCAAACTCTCTTGTTTTCATCTCTGCTGGTACTTCTCAGATTGTCGTATTTATGTATGATTTGATGTAATTTGGAATTTTTTTTTAAAAAGCACACATACAGACAAAAACGCAAGCGGACATATGCATGAACCAACTGATAATAAGGATAGCATCTCTGAAGATGTTTGATAAATCATTATTTTAAAAAGTTTCTTTTAATATTAGGTCTAAAACCACCCGAGGTAGATAAATATTGATAGTTGTATGTGTTATGAAGGTAAATGGAGGAAGTATGAAGTGAAGGTTTGGATCTATCTTTTAGTAGAACGCTATGAATGTCTTCCCCCATGTGGTTATTTTCGTATATTTTGATCCAGAACACTTGTATACCTAGAAAATATCAGTCACGATTGTATTGAGTGAGTCACCAATTGGCATATTAAATATTTACGGGTCCGGGAACATTTATATCGCAAACAACACTGGCGGATTCAATGTGAGTTCAGTTTAAAAATGGAAACCACAGAACAATAAATATAAAACAATGACAATGCATGAATTTATAAAAGGAATTTCATGTGTAAGCAATTGTAACGCAAAGAAAAACAATAAAGAGATCAGCTCAATATGACAAAGTACAAATCCTATAAAAGCAAATACAGTCAAAGAGGTATAAAAGAACCAGCAATATTGACACCAATAATAACTTACAAATTAATACTCTCTCTCTCTCTCTCTCTCATATATATATATATATGGCACGGTGGAGTAGTGATTAGCAGGTCGGATTGAGGAATCGGAGAACTGAGTTCGAATTCCATGAAATTCATAGAAAACCTATGAATAGATGCTGTGGAAGTATTTCGCTGTGGAGGCTTGTATTTGTACCAAATCGGTCCTAAATAGTTTGACGTACAAAACTTTAGAAACTTGATATAATAGGTATTACGTAGTGTAATCTTGTTGTGGTCACTCACTACTTTCGTATGCGACTAACTGCCGACTACAGTCGTCCGACATCGACTAGTATTTAGTCACCACCCCCCACGAGGGTGTCATGTGACACAAGGCCGGTTTAACGTGGGATCTCCGAGCCCGTGGGTCTCGGCCAAAAATATACCCTTTGAACCCGTATAAACGGGTTCAGGGTCGGTTAACCTCCCCGAACGAGACTCTGCCCTTCGGCATAGCCTCGTTCGGGTTCCTCCCCGCCCGAAGGCAGAGATTTCAACCGTTCAGCCGGTCGTCCGACATCGACTGATCATCGGTTCTCTTACTACTCCTACTTATATTAGGTGGGAAAATCTATTAACTATAGAATAGGGGTGTTTCATCATAACAGTAGCAGAACAGACTGGGATCTATAGCCTAGGATGGCAACTGCCTTGGATAGCAACTGGCCTAGGAGAAGAACAACTCTGAATTCAAATCTTTTGGGGACTTTGTAGTACACAGTGCACCGTCTCTGTACTCGTCCCGTCAAATAGTTTGGTTGGTTCTGCACTAATGCTAAACCACTATAATCAAATCATATAAGCTGGTGTCTGGACTGTCGGTTCCTAGAAACTGAGCTGCTTGACCCTCATACGTCGAATACAACGGGAACATCCACCATATATATATATATATATATATATATATATATATATAGAGAGAGAGAGAGAGAGACAGACAGACAGACAGACAGACATATACATACATAAACACTCGAAGTGGGGATGGTCTAATGGATAGCCACTTGGAATGGATAATAAACGTATTATTATCTTAAACACATGCACAAATATCCCTGGGAACATAGTAATCTCCCTGGCTATTGGCTTTACGGGACTCTTTAGCGTTGGATGAAACCAGTCTTGGCGAAAGACAACTCGGAATTCAAATCGTGAGGTGGGGTCGTTTGCTGACCTTTCGGCACATTATGTGCCCATCTTCTATGTATTCACCTTATCTGAAAAGTGTGGTTGATTCTCTACAATCTTACATGAAATTATTGCTGGGCTCTCATACGTCGAAGACGGCGAGAGAGACCCATCATTAAATGGTTCACTTGTTTAGTACCAATTTTATTGTCAAAATATTGACTTGCATAGTAAAACCTGATATCGTCCCTATGTTTATATGTGTCGGTGACTATTATGTATCTGTACGAGTGTGTAGATTGGTATATAACGCACGATACTATATTCTACATTTAAAAACCTACAGACTATTATATTTTGCTCTGGTTAATCTCCTCGACCGTTTTCTTTTTTTCTATTCAAAATAAATAAACTTCATCTACATAAATATTTAGCGTATTCATTCGTTTCAATTTCATGGCTTGTTTTTACTTCCCCTTTTTCCCTGTAAACATTTCGATCACGTGTCCAACAAATTCTATCGACGAAATGACAGATTTATATCGCATAATAAATGTCTGACAGCGAAGCATCGTTTTCCAAAAGTGCCTGTCGATAATCTTTTTTTTTTTAGGAAATGCGTTATACATTGAATTTTTTTACGTAATTCTGATGGCAATGTCTATCTTCGCCTGTTATTGTCAGTGCCACAGAGTTTATATTTTTCGGAGAATTCTCACATATTTCTTCTTTTCTGAAGCGGTTCTTTCTGCACATAATTGACAGAATGTTGTAAACGTGTAAAGAAAGTAATATCTTATATAGATTTCAATGATAGAATCTACAATAAATGAGTGTCATGTTAATGACAACTTTAATAGCACAAACTGACGTATAATATAGAAATGAAAACATTTTTTGTATGGGTGGGGAGTGTTAAATTTTCAATATTTTCCCTTAGAAATAAATACCGGTTTCTGAAAGATCACATGAGTTAAGCGACGTCGAGCCTAGTCAGTACCTAGATGGGTGACCGTTTGGGAATACCACGTGTTGTAAGCTTAAACGTGCGGGTGGTGTAATGAATTATGGCTCGGAATTTTTAGTCTGAGAGCCGAGTTCTAATTCCCGTTGAGTGCTTGTAATCACTTACGTGCGATTCTCTTGTGAAAGAGAGAAATCTCTTTCTTCCCCTCCTAGATGTGTGTTAGTTAGTATGTTATGTAAACCATTAATATCTCCAGAAATATTTCTTGTAATCTATAAATCTTTCCCAGCGTTAGATAACCTGCAAAAAGTTTGATAAATCGTTGCATATGAATCAATCAATAAAATATTAAATCTGAGAAATAAAATAAAAAAAAAATCTGATATATGTTGCATTAAATCCTAATTAGTTAAGTTAAATAGTTTAAAGAATTAAAATTTAGAAGGTCCGAATATGAAGTCGCTTAAATATAAAGACTGGATTCTCCAGACATGGTTGACAAGAAGAGAAGAACATCTATCAATACACTACATGATCCTGGCGAGGATAAAAAAAAATATATATATTTCTTAAATTCATCCGTAATTTTAATGTTTGAAGAAATGCTATTGGCTAAAAAATAAAAAAAAAAATAAAATTATACATTCGCCCACGCATTTCTCAGAAAAATTCTCAACAGCTCCTAAGCTCCATTGAGCCGATTTCGGTGTCAAGAAAACTATAAATAGAAATAGTAAACGAATTTTCGTCGCATTTGAGACTCACTCACTCGAACACGGGAATTATGTGCCGCCAAAGAAACAAGCTTCCTTTATGAGAGATTAGAAAAATTCACACAACATACTTTTTTTAACTGAAACTTGTGATCGTTTACCACAGTTGCATTATTAACCACAGTATGCCTCTGTGTATGTTAAAGAAACGTGAATGACCCTAATCTGATGAGAGTTCTCGAAATCAAAGAGCCATTATGAAAGATGAGAAAAGCTTGCTGTTTTGCAGTGACACTTTAAGTCACAGCATACCTAATGCTGATGAAATAGATGCATATATGGAACTCATGTTCGTTTTCTACGTTCAAATCGAGTTAAATAACAGAACATTGCACGTGGATTTTAAAAAACAACCAGGTTTATTTTCCATGCACCCTTATATTTCACTCTAAAGATTAATGAGAAGTCTGTAACTGTCATCATTGACAGACTCAAACCAGCATTTTTGGATTCAAGTCTTTGTAATGATAATAATAATGACACAACTTCTTTAACTCCGACCAAACCAGATACTAGTGAAAAATGCTCTACCACGTCAGGTAGAAGCGTACATTGGTCTACTAGGTTTGCAACACACTACACGTATTAATACATATTGTAAGTATAGCCACTTCCATCTGGTGTGGGGGGGATTTGTGTAACCCTCATTTCAAATTCAAATATTTTCTTGAATTTCATTGGTTGTTAAATAAAAAAATATGCTTAGAGGAATTTTCATAACAAAACAGTCAAAATCTTTGCAAAAGTAGTGTCAACCAACATAAAAAAATATATATATTTCTTAAATTCATCCGTAATTTTAATGTTTGAAGAAATGCTATTGGCTAAAAAATAAAAAAAAATAAAATTATACATTCGCCCACGCATTTCTCAGAAAAATTCTCAACAGCTCCTAAGCTCCATTGAACCGATTTCGGTGTCAAGAAAACTATAAATAGAAATAGTAAACGAATTTTCGTTGCATTTGAGACTCACTCACTCGAACACGGGAATTATGTGCCGCCAAAGAAACAAACTTCCTTTATGAGAGATTAGAAAAATTCACACAACAAACTTTTTCACTCAATAAGTTCCATAGAAAAATCTTTCGACTAAGTTAAATTCAACATTTTAATCAAAGGTAGACAACTTTTAGGCATTGAACATTTCCGAAAGAGCAAAAAATCTTTTTTCTCTAAAATATACCTTTGCACACATCATTACAAAAAAATTCTAAATTGTGTATATAAAATTTAATCTGTTTCAAACATGTACTTTTTGTCGTGATTGAATATCGTTACCATTTGGCTATTTCTTATAATTTATGTTTGTGGATATTGCAAAATTTATTTGCAGCACAATTTTAAATATTCACGCAGCCTTTCCTAGATGCACTGCCATACATTTATTGCCTTTAATTAGGCTGACACCAATTCATCAGTTCTGATGAAATGTTATTTCCATGTAGCATTTTGCGTAGTAAGATGATGCATATCAACATCAATGTTCGGTTTTTAAATCCAGGTAAAGGGAAACTTGTCAAATTAATTTTACTTAAAAGAAATGACAAACTTATTCCCTTCAAAGTATAGCGCAAACTTTCTCTTTTAATCTCCCTATTTAGCCTCCTCAAGGTTATTAGAACGTAATTGAATTCGAACTCAGTTCTCCGATTCCTCAGTCTGAGCCGCTATCCATTACCCCACCGTAGCGGCTCGAATTAAGGAATCGGAGATCCGAGTTTGAATTCCTGTAGAATTCCATTTCATTCACTTACGTACTAATACCCTTGGGAAAGGTATGAATGCTCTTCTTCTCTCACCATCTATAATTAAATAGCAGGACACTCTGGGTTATATAGCCTTGGATGGCAACTGATATACCGCAAAAAGAAATGATAATCTAATGCGAGAAAAAAAATCTGCCTCGTCAACCATGTATCGATGGATACATAATCGCCTAAGCGTGTATCACGCATGGTACATAACTGACTGAATGGATAGCGGCTCTGACTGGAGAGTCGAACAGCCGAGATCAAATTCCAATCGAATCCATTACGGCTTATGGGCTAATATCCTTGGGAAAGGTATGAATCCACCATTTATGGGTTCTATAGACTTGGATGGCAACTGCTCTACTGCAGAAAAAAATGGCAACATACTGCCGGAAAAAATCTGCCTCGTCAGTCATATATCAAAAGATACTTGTTCGCCTAAGCGTGTATCACATAACTAGCCTTCTGTTTGATAAAGCTAAGTTTTCTGCTTTTCTAGATGGCTGAGATAGGTAAATATATATATAGCCAGGAATCAATTTACGAATTTCTGATAAATGCAGACAAATGTAAAAGTGTTTCATCGGCGACACATTAACAATTCCTCGGAGTTCAGTCAGTCATGTCCCGACCCTAGATGAAGTACTATCCGATGTCTGTCCGTTATCAGGCAAGCTACGGTAGATCTTTTACTCCCATATACTCTGGAATCTAAAGAACGTGATTGGACACATTGGCTATGCATTGGATCCATCCTAAATTGAATAATGATGAGATTTTAACCAGAAATATATTCTTACTATTTCAAACAATACTAAGAAACCGCTTTTGGTCACTGTAGAGAATCACCGTCGGCCATTGACCTGTCCACAATGAGCGTAAATATATTCCATTAGTTATCCCAGGTACAGACATGTCACTAATGTCAAATGTCCACATTATTTCAATAACATAGGGTGCGATCTGTCTAACACACACTAATTTATACTCCGATAAATCACACTGCCTTGTCATGAGAAGTTAGTTCACACTGACTCACCAGATGTCAGAGTACAACTGTGTAGCTTTGGGTACTATTCCAGTGTTTATCGAATTCTCAAGAAAGCTTCCGGTAACTTTATTCTGTTTCATATAATTTCAAAAGTTGCAGTTTCTACTTCTTTGTAGCCAGAGACGATTTCAGTATCGAAAATATTACCGAAATAATGAAATTGTAGGATATCCTACTTTGCAAAAACACATGCTAGTGAGGCCCTCTTTAAGCCTATAAATAGGTAATTATATTCTCACTGACCCCCGTTTTGCATTTTCTTTTAGCTCTGGCTTTCAGATGTAGTTGCACTTCAATATAAACGTTGCCGACAAGCCGCATTCGCCACTTTGGACCACCCGTGGCTTATGAACCTTTTCACATACATATGTTTATCACACACTCTTGCCTCTTGACATTCATAGCGCTCTCCTAAAAGAGAGATCGAAATCTTCACTTCATACTTCCTCCATTTACGTTCATATCACATAAAACTATCAATAAGTATCTACCACGGGTGGCTTTTAGACATAATATTAGGAGAAGCTTATCAAAGTAATAATTTATCCAACATTTTCAGAAAGGCTATCCTTATTATCGGTCAGTTGATGCGTATGTCCTCTTGGGTTTTACATCGTGGTTAGGCTTGTGTGCATCTTTATGCTTAGATGTTTGTCTGTGTGTGCATGGGTGTGCTTAGATGTTTGTGTTTCTGTCTGTGTGTGTGTGTGTGCTGATTTTTTTGGGGGGGGACAATTTTTTTCAAATTGCATCAAATCATACATAAATACGGCAAAATTGAGAAGTAACAGCAGAGGTGACAACAGAGATTGCCAAACCGCCGGGTTTTCGAACACACTACTTGTTGACCTCTCTACCTTTGGACGGAGAGGAACCCAGATGTATGTATGCTGAAGATCGTACGGGATCTACAGGGAAATTTTGCCCGTGCATACGAAACCTCCCACGTAAAAATAAAAACGGCCTTGTGCCACATCCCTCCTTGTGAGGGAGGACTTGGGTAAATATCGAGAAGGCAACAGCCCTGAATAGTGAAAGAATTACTGCAATGCGCTCACGAAACTTCGAAGTCGACATGACTGAACCATTACAACTCGATTAAGTGATAAGTTTCTCCATTTATTCTATTAACGCTTTATCTTTGCATTTTGATATCGACCAATTTATGAGAAATAAAACTGCCTGCTAAAAATGCTTTCCCACAAGTAAACTATAGATAAGAGAACAAGCAATTTTTGCAGCAAAATATCTTAAAACTTTTTATATATATATATATATATATATATATATATATATATATATATATATATATATATATATATATTAGCATGGCCCGTTGCCCGGGCTTGATTCAAAATCGTACGGCTCATACAGCAATCGTTATCACTTGATTTAAAATATTTTTGCCCTTTCTTGCCTTTAAAGGAGTGCCCTTTGCCGTGCTGATGTTGCTACATGCCTTACTTCTTGCCTATCTCACACTGCGATTTTTTTC